GGAGAGAGGAGAGGTAGGCACGGCGCCTCCTAAGAGTCAGAGGACTGCGCCACAACCCCTGCCAGTGCACATGTTCATGCAAGAAACAGTGGGATACCTGCAATGTACATGTAAAAGATAAACTCCCACCTGTGTCCTGTGAGGAGACAGGAGCTGCACCTCGTCGAGGACGAGCCAAGATCGAGTCATTCGGCAGATCAGTGCTGGCCAGGTGCCACAGCCTCAAAATGTTGTTCGTGACCATGATTCTTTGCCGTTCCGTAGTGCACTGGGCCAGCACTGCATCGAAGATAGTCTCTATCGGAAGGAAGCGGAGCAGCAGCAGGAACGGTGCCAGTGGATCTTTCTCATGTGCTTGCAGCAGATCAAGATACAGGGAGGTGCATGCTGCTTCAAGGGTTGCCTCATCCGGGCGTGGGAAGCTCACCGTAGGCGCCAGACGGGATACCAAGGAGGTGGCTCCGACAGCAGCGTTGCACGAACCATCAATCGCCACATTAGGGCCAGCCAGGCCCGTACTGGGTTGTCCAGTGTTGACGCTGTCAGGGCTCTCAACCGCGGCATGGGACTGTAGCGTCGTGGACGGTACCGTGGGGCCAGAAACTGGCGCCCCAGGGGAGGAGCCAGGTGCAGGTCTTTCAAGGGTACTCAGGTTGGACGGCAAAGACCCATTGTCCATCTCGTCATCAGGTGAGGCATAGGCTTCCCGGAGATTTCCGCAGAGGCGGCCTTCCCGCGGAGGTGTAGAGGGGGCCGGCTGTGCTGTGGATGGCGTAGAGTAGTGTAAGCCAAAGCTCGAGCGTATGAGCGGTGCCCTGCTTGTATCAATGGGATCACTGATTCTTTCGTAGGCCCTGCACCAAACGCCCTCCACTCGAACCCACAATACTCCTTCTATCATGCGTTCAGTCGATGAGTGCGTGTCCGAGGTCAAAGTTTCATACCCAGAGTACAGGGAATCCGTGAGACCCGAGCTTTGCACGACCACCCTGGCCCTGGCCTGAGCTGGATGAGGTATGGCCACCAGTGTCAGTAGTGAATGGTGGCAGGGTTGTGGCACCGAGCTGCGTCAGGCGAGCATAGGCCCATTGGCAAAGATCTTGTTGCCCAAGAGGCGCTCTTTCGACATCAGCTTGGCGCAGCCCGACCTCAATTGCCTCAGCTATCTGTTCCGCAGTGAGTCCAGTGGAGGTATAGTACCGATAGAGGACATCAAAGGCCTCAATGCCCATGTCCTGGGGCATTCCCTTCTCCAAAAGACGGACACGCCTGGCCCAGGTTTGATACTCCGCACATGCGTGCTTATCCACCATCCATGGTAAGTCAGGATGTGTAGTTGCATTGCCAGTCCTCAGGGCGCCCGAACTCTGTGCGCGCCTGGAGTTGGTAGCACCGGAAGAGGAGGAAGCATCCGGTCCCGCATCGCCATGGGAGCTTGTGCCACGCTGCATCGGGAGATTCTGCTGGTTCGGATTCCTGTGGGGGGTGCCAGATGTGCCTCGCTTCCCTGCCAGGATATGTGGCACGAGGTACCATCCAAGCAGCATGAAAAGGACACATCGAGTCATGGCCATTGCAAGAGATGCTGCACTACAGCGTCGAAGGGGAGCCTGGTTAGAAGCGGGGCCACGTTGAAGCACAGCCCGTTCACAGACACAGACAGCGCGCACCAACACACACACACAGTCACAATTGAGCCGAAAAGCTTACTGGTGGTCAGCCACGCCCACCTCTCCTTCTTGACAGCTTCTCATGACAGAAGTGACGCACTGTCTCGGCCCTGTCCCACCTGTTCCTTTCCTTGACATTCGCTCTGCCAAGCCATTATGTCTACTGTCCCACGGGCGCTCACATGCACTGCCATGGCTTTCGCGGAGGCTGTCCATTGCCACGCCATGCGCAAGGACTCTGGCTTTGCAGAGCCCTGCAGCAGTACACCCTCAGCTTTCATCTTTTTTTCGTTCCCCTTCTCATCGCTCCCTCTACTGCGTTCGTCAGCCTCCATTTGCAGCATCTTTGTATATCGATGGTCAAGTGTGTAGTGCAGCTGGAAGGTGTCGTTTGTTTCCCACTGGCTCACAGCCTCTGAGTTGTCCGGGCTGGTTTCCATGCTGAGGTCCGCAGCACCATTTTGGCATGCACCCCCGGCCAGCGGTCGTCACGCAGGCGCTCGCCCGGTTCCCCCCGTTTCCGCGTCATTCCTCTCGTGGTTGAGGCCCCCCCCGACGTAGGCGATCATCTCAACGACGTTCTCCTCCACTTCTGTACTTCTTTCTCACTTTATGTGGTGGGTCGTCGTCTCAACGGCGTTCTCCTCCACATCTGTACTTCTTTCTCACTTTATAGATTCGGGTCGTCGTCTCAACGGCGTTCTCCTCCACATCTGTACTTCTTTCTCACTTTATAGATTCGGGTCGTCGTCTCAACGGCGTTCTCCGCCATTTCTGAGCAACCTCGATCCGAGAGACTCCTCCGCTGAGCAACCTCGATCCGAGAGACTCCCTGGCGAGCAACCTTGATCCGAGATACTCACTGGTGAGCAACCTCGATCCGAGATACTCCCTGGTGAGCAACCTTGATCCGAGATACTCACTGGTGAGCAACCTCGATCCGAGATACTCCCTGGTGAGCAACCTCGATCCGAGAGACTCCCTGGTGAGCAACCTCGATCCGAGAGACTCCCTGGTGAGCAACCTCGATCCGAGAGACTTCTTGGCCAAATATGCAAAGAGCAGCCTTTGTCCTTCACGCTTGTCGCTTCAACACATGGCTCGCGTAGTCTTTATGTCCTTTCACGCTCATCTTTGGCATCTGGGACGAGCCCCCCGAGTTTCGCATTCTTTCCACGCTTGCACACGCGCGGTCGCCGTCGCCAGCGATTCTCTCTACTCTATATCTGCTCACCCACCACTGCACGCGCTCGTAGCCCAAGCAACGTAGTTTTATCCACCTTCCCACCCCTGGCTATTTGCCAGCACGTTGACATACGCAAAGATAATGCACATCTTGTCCGGTCGAGGGGGTGCTGCGCATTCATAAGCCTGTTCATCCCCCCCGACTCCCCTATCTCCATTCACTCGTCCCTTCACCCTTCCTCCCATCCATTGCATCAGCACACCTCTCATCGCACTCCATATGTATTCACCACTCCCGTCCGGAGATGACCCCCCGATAAGCAAAAACCTGATGGCGTGGCAATGTGCATGACGTCGTTGAGCTCGCGTTGTAGATCCTATATCGTTGGCACATAGCCATACCGAGAAACGCATCATATCATCACCGATTTCTTCAGCTCTACACATCAGCTCACGCATCGATGCGTCCACTCCTGCACTCTTCCACTCCTCCGCTCGTGGCCAGTGCAATAACGGAAGCCACCTTCCTGCTGCTTTCCACAGTCTTATTTGCACCCGCGTGGTCGGGAGTATATTTCCCACACCCCAATGACATCGTCCAACAGCATTCCGTATCCGCGCGTGCATGCATGATCAGCTCAACCATGGCCACTCATCCTTCTATCAATGTTCATTTTCACGGCATCGCGGCCTCGATGTGTTAACCAGTCTGTATTTTCCCACCTCATGATCTCGACGACTGTAACCTGTATATCTTCCCCCTGTATTTTCGTTTTGGTGGGCTCGCAATCCTCAGTCCTCACGCTCGTCGAAACGCTTGCCATTCCCACGTCGCTCATCCAGGCATCCATCTACATCTTAATTTCCGCCCCCGATGTCGGTGAGATCCTTCTGCTGGCCATTCTTCAACGTGCAAACCCAGACCATGTAGCCCAACCTATCCACCCATCTGTTCATCGATGCGTCAGTGCCAGCATTCTCGCGCACCTGGGTATCTACCCCCCGCGTCCGCAGCTCATCTCCAGAGTTGACCTTAATGATTGCTTACACTTAACTCCATTCACGATATAAGTCCCTTCGCCTGAAGTCCTGTATTACACCGTCCACTCATCAACATCGTCCGTCACACTCTTTGTATCTTGTTCCCTTTAGATTCCGCGTCATATCTTATCTGCTCGCGCCCATGGGCATCTCCCCCGCACACGGAGCTAACCCCCCGATAAGCAATACCTGGCCACGTCGATAAAACGCAGAACTCTCAAGGACAATGAGGAAGAGCCTCCGTTCCTGCGTCAATATAGGTGTTGCATATTCTTACACTGGTCTGGGGGCATCCCAGCCACCCCGGCCCATCCTCAATAAGCAGATTTCGCTCCAAAAGCATCGACCTGCTCTTCGCTTTATCTACCCATCTATTCGTATATTCACTCATCCGTCCATCTCATTCTATATCTATTCATCAAAACTCCCCTGCACGTGTCTCAAGCCACCACCATGCATATTGATGCGGTTGTCGCACGACCCCGTTCTCAAACCTCAACCTGTTGCAGACCACTACTGCCTGAACTCCTCGAAGTGTTTTTGGCTTGAATCTGGAACTTGCGCGTACCCTCAACCCATGCATGATCTCGCCTTCCGTCCTGAGCGGTCTCCACGCAAAGTCGTCTCGGAGGAAATTTGAGGGATTTTGGGATACCCCCTCTCATGACCAAACGTATCATACGCTCGCCCATTTATTTCTTTCTCGCTATACTTCCGCGCGTGACCACCTTCTATCGTACGTTCGCCCATTTATTTCTCTCTCGCTGTACTTCCGTGCATCATCGCTTCTATCGTACGTTCGCCCATTTATTTCTTTCTCGCTGTACTTCCACGCATCTCCATGTCCATCATCATGTCATTTATATCCATTCCCATTCCCCATTGACGAAGCCCAGCTCGAATCCCTGGCCCTAGATGCCCCCCGTTCGAGTTGGGTGAGGCCTGTCGTGTCTTGCTTTCTTGGGTCGTTTTCGCGCGTGGGTGTAGTTCCCTTCTCTCTATCTCCCTTGGTCGCCGGAAAGCCTCTGGGCTCCGTCTTTGTCGACGAGGTCGCCGTGTATTCTCCATCCTCTATCTCTGCGGCCTCTGGGTTCCGGCCCGACCCTAGCCGAAATCCTGCCTGTTCCCGGCACCTGCCAACTCAGCGTGCGGGCTGCCTTCTCGTTTAGTTCGTTGCTCTATCTCTTCTGTTGGGAACTTTTCCCTCAGCGATGGTGGTACCTTCTCAACCGGTCCTCGACTGGGCCCGGTTGCCGGCATTGCTATATACCCACTGGCGTGAGCTCGCTCGATCGCTCTCGCTGCGGCCGTCCTGCTATTTCCCTCTGCTCTCCAAATCTCCAGTCTTGCTTCTATTTTCTCACGCAGCCACGAATGAGTCCTTTCTGCCTCGTTCGACTGCCTCCACCGCTCCACGTCGTGGTTCAGTGCGATCAAGCCCTTTACTTTTGCGAACAGCACCTCGCCGATCTGGTTGTCCGACAATGTATTTCCCTTCGACGCCAACAACTGCGCAACGATAAGATCCCGTCTCGTCATGAATTCCTCAAGCGTTTCCTCTTCACTCTTCCCCGGTCTGATCTTGTACGCGGTGTTCACCAACGCCTGCATCAGCATTCCGTGCTCCAGCGACCTTGGGATCTCAATGTATTTCACGATCGTCTTCAGACATCTCATTGCAGTCATCATCCTTCTATCTCCTTTCTGCTGGTACTCCAAGGCCTTGATGGTGAGCTTGCTCCTCAATCCTTCCGATCTCGCGGATTTTCTCAACGCAGAATACAATTGATACTCGAGCGCCGGATATATGAGAGGTTTGTCTATCTCTTCGTCCTTCATCTCTCTAACTCCCATAACCATGTCGTACCCGTAGTCTCCATTGTACACGTATGCTCCACGCGTGCTCGCAGCAACTTCTCCCAGCCATATGTTTACATCTGTCGCTCCAGGCTCCTTCCCAATCGTTATCTCTTGACACTTGTCAATCCCTTTAGTGTCGACTCGCGGTCCTCGATCTCCTATGTCAAGACGACCAACAGCTGGAAAACTTCCCCCATAGCCACTCTGAGTTCTAATTCCAGGTTTCGGGAGAAATGTTCCCGCCCATCCACGTGCGTTCTCATCCCCGATGAGGTGTATTTCCTTTCGCTGTTCGCGTATATATTCGCCCAGCTCGTCTCGCAATCGTCTATTCTCGTTGGCGAGGTTCTCGTTCTCCTTCTTCCGGTCTCTCATCAACGTTTCGAGAACGTCAACTCTTTTCATAAAGCGGCCATTTGTCTCATCTATCTCAGATCTCAGCTTATCCTGCTCGCGCGTCAATCGTACATTCCCATCACGAAGCATTTTATTTTCTTCTCCCAGGTTCGTGAGCGCTGTTTCCAGAGACGCGATCCTTGAGGTAAGCTCGTTATCAGCTGCGTCGACGTGGTTCTTTATCTTCTCTACGTCATCCTCTATTCAACTCTATTCCGGCCATTTTCACAAGGATCTTCGCGCCAGCTATATTTCCTTTTTCTGCCACGCTCTTCACGTCCTTTATCTCGCCTGCCAAGTGCTTCAACTTGGGGGCAATGTAGTCAATTTGCTTTACTATTTCTTTCACCGCACCACGCGCTTTATCATCCACACTCCCACCACGCGGATTGCTCATCATATCTCTGATGCCCTTCAGCTCCTGCTTAAACCACTCCCGCATATCCTTTACGGCGTCGTCGATTCGCGTCTGAATGTTGCGCTCGACCTCGATGATTTCAGCACGCTGCGTGAGGGCCTGCTCTTCCACAACGTCAAGTCTGCAGTGTATAGTATCAAGGTTGCCTTGTATTTCTTCAATTCCCCGAGTGGCAGTCATGGCCTCGGTAGCTGTGTTCTTGGTGCTCAAGGTCATTCCTTCAAGAGTTTCAACTCTATTCGCCAACTCTAATTCATTCTCCCTCCCATCTTTGCCAGACAATTCTCGCGACGCCCATGCTGTGGAGCCTCGCCCGGGAGGGGTGCAGATGAGAAAGCTGTTGCGGCTGTTTGTAGGGGTTGCAGGAGTATTCATTCGCCCTCTACCTTCTTTCGTCTCCTCAAACAACGGTCCATCCAAAATCGTCATATCTCTCTCCAAACTTCTATTTTGTCCAAAATTCAGTCTATGTTCCATACATCCATTCGCACGGTCATCATCCTGAGCCAGGTTGATACCAAACAGTGTATTTCCATCTCCCCATTCTATGCTTCGCATACTGTCCATAACGTCCTCAAGATTCACCAGAGCATCCAGCGAGGGGTCGACTCCATCGCTTCCATGCTGTAGTTCCTTTCCACCCGATGGCCTGCCGTTCTCTATTGTTGTAAGAATCTCTCCTGCAGACCTTGGGACATATCCAGGAATTGTTTTTGTCATTTATTTGTCATTTTGTTGTCACTTGCTGCTGTCATTTTGATGCCATTTTTGTGTCATGTTTGTGTCATTTGTTTGTCATGTGTCAGTAGTATTCTAGTATTATTATTGTAAAGGACCCCGCAAAAGCGCGCCCAGGCAAAGCCCTCAGAAAGGGTTCATATGGGCCTTCCAAAGCCCTCATGATTGTGGTCCCAAATGCGGCCCAGTTAAGGGACCCACAAAACATGGGCCCAAACTAGCTGACGACAGGCATCCTGGGGCCTTCAAGGGTCTCAGACACGGCCCACATGGGCCCCCAGAACCGACACTGCTGAGCCCTTGTCCCTCTTCGCATGCGCGCCGCGACGACGACGATGATGAGGACGACGTGCATTAGAATTGGAGCAAATGATTGAACAATGCCAGAAGAATGACAGACCAAATGGCAAAGGGGTCGCCAAATGACAAAAAAATGACAGAGGGGTCGGGACATGACAGCAGAATGACTCCAAAATGACAGAAAAATGACTCCACAAATGACAGAAAAATGACAAACAAATGACTCCAAAATGACAACAAAATGACTTCCCCCTGGGACGGGCGAGGGGACGGTGGGGACGGTGGAAATTGAAGGAGGCCTCGAGCGGTTGTCGTTTTGGAGTCATTTTTCTGTCATTTCGGAGTCATTTTTCTGTCATTTTGGAGTCATTTTTCTGTCATTTTGGAGTCATTTTTCTGTCATTTTGGAGTCATTTTTCTGTCATTTTGGAGTTGTTTTTTCTGTCATTTTGGAGTCATTTTTCTGTCATGTCCTGATCTGTCATTTTTTGTCATATGGCCCTCCACCGCCCCCCCACCCCCCTTCCCCCCCTTCCCCACACGTTGCCATCCCCCAGATCCCCCCAGACTTCCTTCCTTGCTTACGTAAGGCTTACGCCTTTGTTGCAAGTTATCGTTTTATTCATTTTCTGCAAATCACGACGCAGAAAGTGGTGACTCGTGCCACGCTTAATCTCACAGGATACCACATAAGTGGCCATCTTTGGCACTTATACCTCCTCCTACTACCACCACCACCACCACCACCACCACCACCACCACCGACAACACAATGACAAGAAAATGACAACGCAAGAATGATTCATGCCGAAAACGACATAGAATCGAAACGACAACAAAATGACAACAGCAGAATGACTCCAGAATGACTCCGAAATGACTGAAAAATGACAAAATAATTTTTTATGATTTCCAAGACCTACAGGGCCAAGATTCTTACAACTCTATTGCTTTTGCTTCGGTCTCAAACAAGTTCCCGGGGAAAAGTCTGTCGTCATCACCACCACGACCATCGTCTGCAGCCGATGTCGCTCTATCTCTATTCTCTCCAAGAATATCTTCCACTGTATAATTCATCTCTCCGCCGGCGATGTAAAGGAGAACTGTGCTTCACCCACCGGTCAAGGAGCCTTTATGTTCGTCTACTTTATACTTTCCCAGGAAAAATTGCGCCTCCTCGCTCAGTCGGTGGAGCCAAGGCTCTTAACCTGTTAGGTTCGGAAGAATATATACTTCCGAGTAAAATTGTTGCCCGCTATACCAAGCCAAAGCTCAGGACCGGGACGAAGAACTTGGGGAATATATACAGTGAAGGTGTAGAAGTTGCAATAGGCAGTAGTACCCCTACCAACGGGTCGGTCGAGTGGCCAAACTCTACCAACAAGAACCACCCACAGCTCGCGATCACTGTGAGGATAACTTCAGGGTGCTACCCTGAAGGGGTGAGTGCACTATATCAAGGATATCTGGCGGTTTCCCGTTTGTACAGTCTATCCCCTCTATACACACTCTCACTCCAGCTCTATCCGCCGTGATCCCGGTTTCCAGTTTGTAACCTCCAGCGAAGTCAAGCTCTATGTGCCGGTTAGGGTCAGAAGAAACTGTACAGGCAGTGGGGCTGCTACAAAAGATTCTTGTCTTCCAGTGCCCAAAGAGCTCTTTGAGCCGCGCGCGCTGCGAACACATACAGTGCAACGCCGCACTCTGTAACTCTATTCACACATCCGGTTCTGTATCTTTCTTCCCTTAGGGCCAAGCCCGAAATCAAATCTACCCTATCAAGTCAAAGAGCCCCCTGCTACTTTGTTTGACGCGCTAAACACATGGTACTTAGTCACCAATTATAACTCTGCTTATAACTGTACTTATAACCATACTAGGGAACTTAAGGGCTTATAAGTGGGTTACAAGTGCAGTTGGAATCGATTAATAAGTACCATGAACCTCCAAGTAGGGTTCGAAAAACGAGCGCTGAGAAGGCGATCCCAAATCGACATGGCGCAGTCCGTAAATCCAATCCCCCACCCTCCCCTGAACCCTAAAACCTAACCCCCAAACCCCAAACCCCAAACCCTAAACCCTAAACCCTAAATAACCCGGCGCGCCTCCTCCCGGAACTGTGGCCTCGTCTTGCCAATCGACCTTCCTTGTGCAAGCAAGGCATCTTTAGAAACTGAGAAAGGGGTTTAGGGTTTAGGGTTTAGGGTTTAGGGTTTAGGGTTCGTAGTAGGGAATGTGGGAATGAGGTACCCTACATAATCCCTTTAAGGGTGTATATATAGGGCCCTAATTCCCTCTTTCCCTGCTAAGTACCAGGGGGACTAAGGCTTTCGGAGTACATTACAGTATCTTAGTTGCTGAGTTCATAAGCCACCAGAAAGTGTACACTTTTAGTTTTGTAGAGATTATAGTATCCCAAGAAGTGTAAAGTGTACTCACTCAGCTACTAAGGTATAGATGTACTGTGCTGTTGAAGCAGCTGATTGGTTTAAGGCTGCTAGATACTGCCATGTATGTACTTTTGTCTCACACCTTGGGCCGTCAGATACGGCCGAATGCTGTCATTGATGCTGATGCCTTCTTCTATATGGCCAAGTACTACTGTTTGCTTAAGAACCCCAAAATGAAAGCACATTCTTCCTCATAAGGGCAATGTAGGGACGACTACCCTTTGTTTTTGTGGGGGTTCCTAAGGAAAGACTAGGGTGGTGTGACCTTATCCTGTCTTATCCTTCCCTCAAGTGTTGCCCCAAACCTGGTCCATGTCACATTGTTCCAACGTCGACTGCTGGTTAGCTGCTGCTGCTGCTGCTGCTGCTGCTGCTGCTTTAGAGTTTACGATTCAAAGGGCTCATAATTCACTGACTTCTCCAAGAACCAAGGGAAAAAAAGGTTAAACTTTGTTATTCCTACTAAATAAGGAAACCCAAAAAGATTAACGTTCAAGTATTGGCTAAGTAAGTTCAGAGGAACAACCCCTGGTTCGAGCCGAGTCGGAGCGGCTTTGCGGGCGGTGTCCTGAACGCGGCCAGCTTAGGGTGTTTGGCTTTTGGGGTTTTCGAGGTTTAGGGTTTTAGAGCTTTAGGGCTTTGGGGTTTAAGGCTTTGTGCTTACCATTCCGCATGCCATGTCTGACACCTTTTCTTCCCGCGACTGTGCTGGGTTAGCAATGACTCTCGCCTCAAGGCTAGCCGTGAAGTATCATGCCCTAAACCCTAAAACCCTAAACCCTAAACCCCAAACCCTTGAAGCTCTCCATCCTTACATACCTAAGCCCAAAGCCCTGATGTCTTCCTTACACGAGACAGCCTTCTGGCCAAGAAATGCAGGGCCTAGGGCTTCGGGCTTAGAGCTTAGGGCTTGGGGCTTGGGGCTTAGGGCTTAGGGCTTAGGGCTTAGGGCTTAGGGCTTAGGGCTTAGGGCTTCGAGCTTCGGGCTGAGAGCTTGGGGCTTCGGGTTTAGGGCTTAGGGCTTAGGGCTTAGGGCTTAGGGCTTCGGGCTTCGGGCTTGGGCTTAGGGCTTCGGGCTTAGGGCTTAGGGCTTAGGGCTTAGGGCTGAGGGCTTAGGCCAGTACCGACAGCAGTCCCGCGCGCAGCAGGCTCTGCAGAGGAGCCAGCTCCCTCCACCTGGAGACTCTCCCTCCCGCCATCGGCGCCTGACTCGCGACCGCACTTGCCGCGTCGACGCTCGCCATGAAAGCGTCTATCATGGCTGCGGTATGCCTTCCTTGACTCCCACGCCAGGAGGTGCCCGCGTTGGAGATCTGAGCTGCTACTGCTCTCCTCACACTTGTTGGAGATCTGAGCTGCTACTGCTCTCCTCACACTTGGCTTCCTCCTCCCAGTCCACCTCTTCCTCCTCTTCTCCCGGATGTTTTTTTCCATCGGCTCGTAGATTGTTGAGCCTCCGGGCCCTCTTCACCTGACGGCCTTCCCCTCGGGCAAAGGAAGCGGCAGGAAGCTGTGGTGGCTTTCGCTTTGGCAGTGGCTTGGACTTCGGTGCCACCTTGGGCGGCGTTTCCTTGCTTGCCCACTGGACCCCGCGGCCTGGACACGACTCGCAGGGGTCCTGCCCACGACGTCGGGCCTTGAGTAGGATGCCTCGCCCGTAGCGAGGTCATGGAGCAGAACAAGTTCTCCACGCCTTTGCTCGGCCAGCAGTATCACGTAGCAACGCGA